AAATCAAACAATACATGCATTTGTGCTTCAATTAACAGTGAAGGTTAAGCTATGTAAGATGTCAACTTTGTTGTTAGAAGGTAAGAACATATTACCCCCACCCGAAATTAATTATTTCAAATCTGCCACCCTTAAGCAATCAGACTTGGAAATGAAGTCCCTGTTTGCCTCCTAATGACCAATCATAAAACAAAGTTAATTTGCAAAATGTACAGTTGAGGAAACAAACATTGAGCTCCATGTCCATTGAGATGTTGGCTCTATCATATACAGTATATCACAGAAGTGAGCACACCCTCTCACATTTCATAAATACTTTAGTATATGTTCCATATGATAACACTGAAGAAATGACACTTGGCTACAATGTAAAGCAGTGAGTATACAGCTTGTATAACAGTGTAAATGCGCTGTTCCCTCAAAATATGGTAACACAATACACAGCCATTAATGTCTAAACCACTGACAACAAAAGTGAGTACAGTGGTACCTCGTCTTATGACCTTAATTGGTTCAACCACTCCGGTTGTAACTCATAATGGTTGTATATCGAAGCACCATTTCCCATAGGAATGCATTGAAATGAAATTACTCCGTTCCCGGCTGAAGAAAAAAATCACCAAAAAAACAAAAAAACAAAAAACAGACAAACACTGCAAGACCCATCATAAACGCGATTAATCTGTTCCGGCTGAAGGAGAAAAAGAAAAGAAAAGCAAACAAACTGTGCAAGACCGTTCGGAAATGCAAAAAAAGCAAAGCAAACAAACCATGCAAGACCCTTCGGAAATGCAAAAATAGCAAAGCTACAATGTAAAGCTGTGAGTATACAGCTGTCCCCTCAAAATACGGTAACACAATACACAGCCATTAATGTCTAAACCACTGGCAACAAAAGTGAGTACAGTGGTACCTTGACTTACAACCTTAATTGGTTTCAGAATGCTGGCTGTAACTCAAAATGGTCGTAAGTCGAAGCACCATTTCCCATAGGAATGCATTGAAATGCAATTAATCTGTTCTGGCCGAAGGAAAAAAAACCCCCAAAAAAACCATCAACCCCTGCAAGACCCATCAGAAACGTGATTAATCCGTTCCGGCCGAAGGGGGGGGGGAGAAAAGCAAACCATGCAAGACCCTTCAGAAATGCAAAAAAAGCAAAGCAAAAAGCAAGCAAAGCGTGCAAGACCCATTGGAAATGCAAAAAAGGTAAAGCAGAAAGCAAGCAAAGCATTCAAGACCCATTGGAAATGCAAAAAAGGCAAAGCAAAAAGCAAGCAAAGCATTCAAGACCCATTGGAAATGCAAAAAAGGCAAAGCAAAAAGAAAGCAAACCATGCAAGACCCAGCGGAAATGGGGGGGGGGGAGCATAGAAACATAATCCCACAACCCAGCCCAAAATCATGCTGCAAAACCCAGCCAAAACAGTTTTTAAAAAGCAGAAAGCAGCACCTTACCTTACCAGGCAGTCCAACACCTCCTCCGATTGCACACTCTCTAACTGCTGGAGTGAAAGAGCTACAAAGACGCAGCCTCTTCGCCACCAACAGTTAGCAATTTGAATTCCCCGCCTTTTCCCCCTGCCTTTTTTTGTTCATAATTTGACGCTCCGGTCAAGTAGAAGCAAAAATTTATGGCCAGGGCTGGTTGTAACATGAAATGGTCATATGTCGGGACGTTCATAAATTGAGGCACCACTGTACCCCTAAGTGACAATGTCCAACTTGGGCACAAAATGTCAATATTTTGTGTAACCACCATTATTTTCCAGCACTGCCTTAA